GCTGGCAGCTAGAACAGCGTCGGAGCAGACAGCAACTCCCATTCGCTGCGAAAACCTTGTCAGGACGGATGTTACTTGGACCGGTTTGCAAGGTCCAGCAGCCCTTATATAATGGTGTCCTTGAAAGGGTAAACTGTTGAACAAGTTCGGCGCGTTCGACGTAGCTGGAAGCGTTAATCAACAGGCGATTAGCACCCAAGCGCGATGGACAACTGGCAATTCAATCACACGACGAAGCGAACGAGGAAGAAGGCATACAGTTGGAACAGTCAGCGTGTGTATTGCGTCAAGAAGCGTTAGCAGCGGCGCAACCAATAAGGAAAACAAAAAGGGGCGGGAAAATGCGGATCTTTTAAGAAGGCGGTTCGTATTCAGTCACTTCGCACTCATTCACACAGTTCGTGTCAGTTACATTTGAGAAGTTGACCATTGTGAGATCTGTGAATAAAAAGGGAAAGAAAAACACGGGTGAAAACCAGGTCAAGCAGCGTCCTTGACTTGATGATTTACACTACACTGATCTCCCCTATCTGAAAGGACACTGTCCTCAGTGTCCATAACATCACTATCTGATCCTCCCTCCGGAGGAACCTCCACCTCCATCTCCGGTAATGGAACGTTGTCGGGGGAAGGCATGGGTGTAAGATAAGTATGTCCGCGACTGTTATGATAAGGTTCCGACTGATTGTAGTGTACCGTTAAAACATCTGCCTGTGGCTTCATAGGGTCTCGAAGAACGAACACATTACCGGGTCTACGGTGCACGATGACGTATGGCCCATGCCGCGGATGAAGGAATTTTGGGTGCGTGCCAGGTGTTGGCTTCGGTCGATGAAGGAGAACATAGTCACCAACTGTATAAACAGGTCCTTGGGCCCCGTGGTCGTAAAGCGTTTTCTGATGCTGTTGTTAAGATAGAATATTTTGTCGTGCCTGTTGGAACGCACTGCATAGTTGCTCTCTAAATCGTCGGATGTACTCGTAATGGTTGAGCGCCTCTGCCGGCACCATTGGGGGTGATATGGACCGGTAAGCGCAACTCATGGCCCAGTTGCAGTGAGGCTGGAGAGAAACACATAGAGCTGTGAAGCGACGAACGCGCTTGCGTTTGACCGTCCCTGGCGTCCATTTCGCATGGCCTTCCCGGTAGTCACGTACTAGCACATTCTGTCTAAGCGTAAAAGATCGCTTCTTTGCTCCATGTCGCCGGTTAAAAGCCTGTTCCATCCTGCTGTTTCTTTCACCAATAGAGGACTCCGAGCCTGGTCGGATGGCGTCGAAAGGCATGCGGAGCTTCCGGCTCATCATGGCCTGTGCTGGAAAGACTCCGTCTGGCGCTTGTGGATTCGGTGTTGATCGGTAGAGGAAAAGGAACCGGTCAACCACCTCCTCTATACGTCCCTCCCCTTTTGATTTGTGGAGAGCTCGCTTTAATGTATCGACAAACCTTTCTTCTTGGCCATTCGACTGGGGGTGATACGGCGGCGACCGGCTGTGTTGTACGGCGCATTTCTTGCAGAACTCCGTAAACGTTGCTGAAGTAAATTGTGAGCCATTGTCGGTGGCCATTGTCTCAGGACAGCCGAATCTGCTAAAGGTTTGGAGCAGTTTCGATATGGTGGCATTGGTGGTGGTGTTCTCCATAAGAAATACTTCAGGCCGCTTGCTGTATGAATCGACAATAATGAGAAAGCTTCCGCCATTGATCGGTCTCGCAAAGTCGAAATGGATGCGGCACCATGGCTTAGTAACTATTGACCATGAACAGAATTCTGCTTTTTGTGGCGCTTTCAAGACATTGGCACACCTTTGACAGCGTTTAGCTATTTCATCTAGCTGTTTGTCCATGAAAGGCCAATATACATAACTGCGGGTAAGCGCCTTTATTCCGTTGATTCCAGGTTGCCCGGCGTGGAACTGCCGAATAAGACGCTCCTGAAATGCCTTGGGGATGACCACTCTTTCCGAAAACAGTATGCAGTCGTTTACAATAGAGAATGAGTGTCTCCTCTGAAAGTACTGTTGCAACGCGCCAGATGGACATGAATGTGGTCAACTTGTTTTGTGAAATCGTGTAACCTTCTTGAGTATTGGGTCCCGATGCGTTTCGGTTCGTACAGCTTCTGCGGTAACTGGTAGACCATGCAATGCACCAGTTACCAGGAAGTTGACGTCAGCTTCAACCTCGACCGAGGCAATGATTGTGTCCTCATGTTCTTGCTGGCGGGCATCAATTAGGCGTGACAATGCATCCGCTTGGCCAATGGAAACTGTCGAGTGGTATTGGGTCTCGAAGTCATACCCCATTAAGCTAAGAGCCCAACGTTGTAGCCGGTTGGCTGTGTGGGCCGAAATGCCCTTTTTCGAACCAAAGGTAGCCAGCAAGGGCTTGTGATCTGTCAGAAGCTTGGAGCGGCGACCGTATAGCATTTTGTGGAATTTCTTGACTGCGTACATTATGGCCAATGCTTCTTTCTCAATCTGACTGTAATTCTTCTCGACCTTCGTAAGTGTTCTGGCGGCATGGGCGATTGCCTTCTGAGATCCATCGGCGTAGGCGTGTGATATTACTGCACCAATCCCATGGCTTGATGCATCTGTGGCCAAGACAGTCTCTTTGGAGGTATCGAAATGAGTCAAAATCAAGTTTGAGGACAGCAGTGACTTGACGCGTTCGAAGGCATTCTGGCATTCGGATGTCCAGTTCCATGTTTGGCCTTTGGCTAATAGCTTGTTTCACGGGGCACGCAGGCGGTGCATCTCAGGCAAGAATGCGCTGTAATGGCTGATGATCCCACAAAAGGAACGCAAGGACTGGAGATCGGTTGGCGGAGGCATTTTTCTAATGGCTTCTATATTTTCCGGATCTGGTCGACGTCCATCCTTCTCGAGGCTAAAACCGAGGTATTTGACGATCGGCGTGAAAAATGTGCATTTATCCTCACGGATCCGGAAACCGTACGACTGTATGCAACCAAGCACTTCATCCAAGCGGTTGAATAGTCCTTTCGGTGTTCGACCCATCACTATGATATCGTCCGGATATGAAGTGGTTCCAGAAACACCCGCTAGCATGGTGTCCATCAACTGTTGGAAGGTGGCTGGCGCCGTTTTCACACCAAATGGCAAGCGGTTGTATTGGAATAGCCCCCGATTAGTGTTGATCGTCAACAACTCCCTCGAGACTTCACCAGCATCCACTTGCAGATAAGCATCGGATAGATCAAGCTTAGCAAAGTACTTACCACCATTCAACTTTGCATAGATATCCTCCGGTAAGGGTAAGGGTTACTGGCGGTCGTCTAGCGCGGCGTTGAGGCCAGTTGAAAAGTCAGCGCAGACGCGTACCTTGCCATTTGCTTTCTTCTCTGCGACAATAGGTGCGGCCCATGATGTGTAGTTGACGGCTGTGATGACACCGGCACGTTCCAGTCGATCGAGCTCTTGCTCAACGGTTGACATGGCTGCATATGGTACCGGCCTTTTGGCCTTGTACACTGGTTTAGCACCGGGTCGCAAGTTCAGTGTTGCCTTGCATTTCGTACCGTGGCCCAAGCCATCCTGAAAGACAGAAGCAAGTTTGCGCTTCAGGGTACGTGTCATGTCTGCGACGGACACGTGGTCTGTCTCATGCTGATGTTCCAGTAGCTCATCATGGAACCTTCGCTGAATCCTGTGTTTGTTGAGATTTGCAGTACACCCAATTGTGATGCATAGGTACATACGTCAGAAGAGAGCTTTCGAACTATAGACTAATATCCATAGATACACGTGTGTGCAATCACCCGAGACGACTACCTCGAACATAGATCACATGTGTACGACGCTGTGCTATTACATCGCGGAACTAATGAGCATGATCATTACTACTAGTTACTTTGTCCATCACGCTCTGCGATAAGAGCTATGATCTCACGCACATAATGTACTGCAGCACGCCGTAATCCGCGCAACTATGAGTCATGACTTCATCAGTAGCAAAGTTAAATAGGAAAGGTGACAGCGGGCAAAACCTTGTCTCATACCGCTGGGGTATTGAAGGGCAGTGACAGCTTGCCGTACACCCCCACTCTGCCCAAACTATGCGCATACAGTGCTCTGATAATGTTTACGTAATTTTCGGGCATGCATTTTCCGAGCAGACAGTTCTAAAGAGCACGTCGATGAACCGAATCAAAGGCACATTTGATATCGCGAAACACGAGTACGGTGGGTCGTCAATAAACATGGCGGCGCTCCAACCATTGACGCAAAGTAAAGATATGGTCGATGCAGCCACGAGTTCGAAGAAACCCGGCTTACTCTTCGCGGATCTGGCATATACGAGCGCCAGACAGTCTGTGGAGAACGACAGACGCAATCAATTTAGAAGCAATTCAATCCAGACTGACCCCTCTATGATTGCCGCATTCCGATCGTGAGCCTCCCTTGAAATTGGGACTATGACGGAGCGGCTCCAGTCGGTTGGGACAGTTTGCTGCTCTTGCAGTTTCACTAGTAACTCGAATAAATCATCCACAAGAGCAGGTCCCCCGAATTCGAAGAGGGCTGGAGGTAGATCATCTGGTCCCGCGGCTTTATTTAACTTCAGCAGTGCGATCTCACGTTCGACTTCTGAGTGAGAGGGTGGATCCAAAGAAACAGCCCAGGGAGCGGGGTGATCAGTGGCCGGCGAGAAATCTAACAATTCCGACAGATTAAATTGCCTTTCAAAGTGCTCAGCCCAACGCTCCAAGCGTTTTGACAAGTTGCGGATGGGCTGTCCACTCTCGTCACGTATAGTTTCACTAACATCAGGTCTCCTGCTGCCCGTTTCCCGTATCAGACGGAATAACTTACGATGGTTAACCAGGGCAGCAGCCACCTCCATCTCGGATGCACGATGAGACCATCAAGATTCGCGGTCTCTCTTCAGGCTAGCACGGAGTTTTGCCCGGAGCTCTTTGCGAGTTTCATTGTGTTCGCTTCCAGCCGGAATATGCCGGCGAGCATCGAAAAGTTCCAGAGACTGCGAAGAGACCCAATGTCCATGTTGGCGATTAGACTTACCACATGAGGATTTTGCTATTGCTAGTAAGGACTGGTGAATATGAGACCAGTGAGCTTCAACTCTATCCAGTGAGCGATTACTCAACGCACATATCAGCGTACTTTGATAGGCATTCAGAACAGTTGGTTTCGCCAGTTAGCTGGTGTCAATGCGCTCACAACATCGTCGTGGGCGTCCGCCAAAACGCATCCGCAGGTCAGCACATACATGTGCATGGTCGGTGTCCACACCTGTGTTCCAAATCGAGCGACAGTTCTGGACGCAGCCTCTCCACCGGTAACTTATCGCAATGTGATGATTTGTGTCCATAGCTGGTTCGAGGCTGGTAGGCGCCAAGTCACCCTCCGGCGGGTGCTGTGAAGGAACTTAGTGCTCGCAAGAAATAAGCGAGCATCTTCACACAAATGAAGTAACCGCTCACCGTTATCATTACGGGAGCCTACACCATGTTGGCCGCCCAGATGCAGTTCTTCAGTGGATAATTTTCCAACTTGAGCGTGCAGATCCCCAGCCAGCACAACAGTGTCCGAGCTTCTTCTGTGGCGAAGGAGCTCATTCAATTGGTGATAGAAGTCGCCTTTTACCGAATCATCGCTAGAATTTGTGGGTGCATAGACAGCGATGACGAATAGACAACTGTTAGTCCCGCGCGATTTCGAAGCTTTGAACGAGCCAGCCAAACGGACCGCACACAACCGGCTACTGATTGGAATCCAGCCAAGCAGAGCAGTTTCAGCCCGGGGACTCAAGGCAATACCAACACCGGCTTGGCCGGTGCTCGAACCTGCATCGTCACCGAATAGGCGCAATGAGAAAGTGCTGCTGGTGTCACCTGAAGGGGATCCCTAAGCGAACACAGAAGTCGAGTCTTGCAGGCAGGTCTCCGGGAAGCAGCAGATATCGATCGAGAGGGTCTCTAATGTTCGGGCAAGTGCTGCCTGTTGACCGATCTGTAGCAATGTGCGTACATTGAGGCATGCCAATCTGAAGGATGGTCGAGGGCACCAAATGGAAGTCGATGAACTGGGCTTGGCCGTTTGGTTGGACATGGGCTTGTCGACAGGACAGGAATGACGCTCCGCGTTTACATGTGAGTTGAAACTAGAAGATAAAAACCTAGCAAAGCAAGGTGGGGACGGCCAAGAATTGGGGGGTTGAAAACAGGGGGGGATAAATGTGAAGCTGGAACGGGACGGTAAGAGAGAAAAATGCGTAAGAGGGGGATTAAGAAGATGGGAAGGCTTGGGCAGTAGCATCCAAACCCCTATCCGCCCTACTCGATGCAGCAAGACAGGGCACCCTTGATTATCCTCTGCGGTGGCCAGAGCATCAAGAAACTGTTTGAAGAGAAATTCATTGTACTGCGTGGGCAGGATACTGTCAGGTTGCCCACGCCCAGACAGGTGAACGATTAGGGTTCTCAACTAAAGCCTTTGGTTCAAAAACCTGACCGCAAGGCAGCGGGTTTGGCGTTGGGATACAAGGAGTCTGTTTTAAGGAATAAAGAGCCACCTCATTCCAAGCCCCAACCTGGAGGACCAGGAGGCGGAGTTTGTCTGGCTTCTAACCATTGAGCAATCTGGTATGAGTGGCTCTGAAAGTGCATAAAAGCACCACCCAGCATAGCTCAATGGATCGCTGAGGCACACAAATCATCGCACCACGATAAGGTCCAGCGTCACTGCTGGACGGGAAAGCTCAGGAATGAACCACAATTCAAATCACGAACAAACACACGATTCGGCTCAATGTTGATAGCACAAACCACAAGAACTAGGAAGGTAGGACATCTGAACAAAATCCATTATGATAACAGGCTCAGGCAACACCAATGCTGGCGGGTATTGATAGGTCTTTTAACGACGTGATGAAGTCGATCGACCACAGCCCTAATCCTAGGCGAGAGCGGATTTCTGTGCTGTTTAAAAGCAAAATGGGGGCTAATAACAGATCCATACTTTAGTCGAATCTAGTGTAACTTTTGAGAAGCCAATCGCTTTCCAAACACCTGTTATCTCAAGAAAGATCGTAGACTGGACAATGTTGATTCATCTGCAAGGCTGCCTGAACCACACAACGGATATCAGCCCTGAAACAAGATTTTTAAAAAACTAACTCACAAACACTGCTGATCACTGCGTTTGCCGAAGGCCTCCCAGTGTTTTGGACAATTGTGGGCTAAGGAGATTACGTTCGAATGAGAGCTTCAATCGTTTGCAATTGTGGGACTTCGATTCGTTGCTTGTTGGAACGGAATGACCATTCGGTCTTCCGTTGGGATTGAAAGCTTGATTTAATTTGCCACCGCCGCCAAAATTCGATGTGGTTTCCGCTGGCTGCATGAATAACCTACTGCGATTGCGCAATCTAAACCAGCCAATTTATCAAATTGGAAAAAACACCTTTGGCAAAAATCTCGATTGGTCTCCAGACAAACCAGTACGTACAGTAAAATATGGGGTCTGGATATACATCATCAATACACGTTAGCTGAGGGTGGAAACGCCTCAGCCGTGCCGCAACACATATAAAAGATACGATACCAAAATAATACAAAACTCAGGTAATATACCCTATTGCACGGTTGTGAAACCTGGCCCCTAAGATCAGCAGACATGAAGAGGCTAGTTACGTTCGACCATCGGTGCCTTCGCAGTTTGGCTCACATCTGGTGGGAACAACGCGTGAGTAACGAACGTGTTCGACGCCTTGTTTACGGCACAGAAAAGGATCTGAACTGCTCAGCACCGTCATTTTACGCACCAGGCTCCGATGGATGGGCCATGTGTTGCGCATGCCAGCCCACCGACTTCCACGACGTGCGTTGTTTGCTCACCGAGGATGTGGATGGAAGAAGAGGAGGAGCGGCCAAGCGATGACTTGGTCGAGAGGAATGAAGGCCCTCACTTCGGAGCTGGTCTCGGTTGGAGCATATCGGCTCCCTGGTTGGGGTCCAAAAGACGATGAACACGTTTGGCTGGATACACTTGCTGACATGGCAAGGAGCCGACCTCAGTGGCATTCCTGCTGTGAGTTTCTTTGTCCCTCCCCATCTCTTTTAGCCTCCCCTCCACCTACGATCTCACTCCATAGTGTAAAACATAATAATTTTTATTTTTGCCTAGTAGCCGGCTGGTAGCTTACCGGAACGATGCCTATCCGTTGTTGGTAGATCAGCTGACATGCAACTGTTGTATTTATTTTCATTTTCCGTTATGTATTGCGGCACCGTAGCTGAGGTGTTTCCCACCTCTAGCTGACGTGTATAATGATGAGGATGAACGAATATACCGTTATATATCACATTCATTCGATATGAAATCGTAAATGAAGTTAGAATCTGTAAAGTAGCGGGATGGACAAAGAAACCCACAGCACAAACGCCATTGGGGCCGGCTCCTAGCCATATCAGCAACCGCGTCCAAAAACCAAACGTGTTCATCGTCCATAGGACCCAAGCCAGGCAGTCCAGATGCACCAACTGACGCCAACTTAGAAGTGGGGGACTTCATTCCTCTCGACCAAGTGATCGCTAGGCCTCCTTCCCTTCCCCCTCTTCCAACCGCACCCTCGGCGCGCAAACAATGCACATCGCGAAGGTCGGTGTGCTGGCATACGTAAGACGTAGCGAAGCTATCGGAGCCTGGTGCGCGATATAATGGTGCTGAGCGGTTCACTAGCTCTTCTTGCACCAAATACGCGACGCCGAAGACGCCCATAGTTTACGCGGTGCTCCCATCAGACATGAGCTAGGCTGCCAAGGTAGCGATGATCGCACGTAGCCGACCTTTTTATGTCTGTCGACCTGATGGGCCTGGTTCCACAATTGTATAGGAGGGTTGAACGGACAACTGTATTGTAAACTCTGCCCATCAGGGCCAGTGAGGCCGCGTCTGTGCCACAGGTGACGGAGATTGGCAAAAGCATCTAGAGCTTTTGCTATACCGTCCGTGCCCTAATCTTCAAACCCACGCGTGTGAATGTAGATGCCAAGGTACTTGAATTTCGGAACGACTTCTAGCTGATCACCACCGAGGATCAGCGCAGGAGTGGGTCCCTGCCAATCTTGGAGAAGTACTTTGCATTTCGTTGGAGCAAAGCATAGCCCAAAACGATTGACAACCAGTGCTAATCGGTCCAGTGCTGATTGGCATCTTTGGGTGCTGCCAAATATGAGGGCAATGTCGTCCGCGTGCCCCAAGTCAAGAAGTCGCTTAACAGGAAGCAGCTCCACGCCTTGTGAGTCGTGTCCAGCGAACGCTGTTTCCATGACTTCATCAGTAGCAAAGTTAAATAGGAAAGGTGACAGCGGGCAAACCTTGTCTCATACCGCTGGGGGTATTGAAGGGCAGTGACAGCTTGCCGTACACCCCCACTCTGCCCAAACTATGCGCATACAGTGCTCTGATAATGTTTACGTAATTTTCGGGCATGCATTTTCCGAGCAGACAGTTCTAAAGAGCACGTCGATGAACCGAATCAAAGGCACATTTGATATCGCGAAACACGAGTACGGTGGGTCGTCAATAAACATGGCGGCGCTCCAACCATTGACGCAAAGTAAAGATATGGTCGATGCAGCCACGAGTTCGAAGAAACCCGGCTTACTCTTCGCGGATCTGGCATATACGAGCGCCAGACAGTCTGTGGAGAACGACAGACGCAATCAATTTAGAAGCAATTCAATCCAGACTGACCCCTCTATGATTGCCGCATTCCGATCGTGAGCCTCCCTTGAAAATTGGGACTATGACGGAGCGGCTCCAGTCGTCTGCCTCCAGCCCTCTTCGAATTCGGGGGACCTGCTCTTGTGGATGATTTATTCGAGTTACTAGTGAAACTGCAAGAGCAGCAAACTGTCCCAACCGACTGGAGCCGCTCCGTCGTAGTCCCAATTTTCAAGGGAGGCTCACGATTGGAATGCAGCAATCATTGAGGAATCAGTCTGAATCAGTCTGCACGTTTGCTTTACATCCCTAAGGTCACCGGTTCGAATCCGCGTAGGGTTGGTCGTCCTCGCGGTATACTCAGCCTGCGCGACTGGTGGTGGTCGCGCGGCAGCTAGCGCCGTTACTGTGTACAGCTGACACATTATTTTTCTTATTATTATTCATGTCATCTTTCACAGACTGACTGCCACGTGAAAGACATATTCGTGAAGAGCAAGCCGGGTTTCGTCGAGATCTTGGCTGCGTTGACCACTTCCTCACTTTGCGTCAGTTGTTGGAGCGCCGTCACATATATTGGGGGCCGAGCATTGTCGTGTTCCTCAATATCAAAGGTGCATTCGATGCCGTGGACGGACGTGCACTTTGGGACTGTGTACTCAGGAAAGTTGTACCTGAGAAATATGTAAGTATTATCCGATCATTATACGCGCGTAGCTCAATAAGAGTGAGGGCTTACGGCAAGCCGTCGTCGCTTTTTAATATCTCCAGTGGTGTGAGACAAGGATGCCCGCTGTCACCTTGCCTCTTCAACTTCGCTATCGACGAAGTTATGGAAATCGCGTTCACAGGTCACGATTTAGGTGTGGATCTGCTCCCAGGAGAACGACTTGTTGACTTGGAGTATACAGACTATATTGCCCTAATCTGTGACAGCAGCTCCCAGACGTGCCAAGTGGCACTGGACCGATTAGCACTGGCTGTCAGTCGCTTCGGGCTTTGCTTTGCACCATCGAAGTGCAAAGCGTTCCTCCAGGATTGGCATGGACCGCCTCCTTCGCTGACCCTTGGTGGCGATCAGCTAGAAGTCGATCAAAAATTCAACTACCTGGGAAGTTGTATCAGCGCCCTTGGGATTGAAGATGAGATCACGAACTGTATAGCAAAAGCGCCTCGAGCTTTTGCTAACCTTCGCCACTTATGGCGCCGGCGCGACATCACTGTCGCCGTGAAGGGTAGTGTACAATGCAGCGGTGCTTTCGACCCTACTGTACGGTTGTGAAACCTGGTCTCTTAGATCAGCGGGAATAAAGAGGCTAGTTACGTTCGACCACCGGTGCCTTCGCAATTTAGCTCACATCTGATGGGAACACCACGTGAGCAACGAGCATGTTCAACGGCTTGTTTACGACACAGGAAAAGAAAATGAACCTCAGCACCGTTATTTTACGCACCAGGCTCCGATGAGTCGGCCAGGTGTTACGCATGCCAGCCCACCGACTTCCGCGACGTGCGTTGTTTGCGCGCCGGGGGTGTGGATGGAAGAAGAGGAGAGCTGACCAAGCGATGACTTGGTCGAGAGGAATGAAGGCCCTCACTTCGAAGCTGGCCTCAGTTGGAGCATCTCGGCCCCCTAGTTGGGTTCCGAAATACGATGAACACGTTTGGCTGGATACCCTTGTTGATATGGCTAGGAGCCGACCTAGGTGACGTTCGTTCTGTGAGTTTCTTTGTCCCTCCCCATCTCTTTTAGTCTCTCCCTCCACCTACGATCTCATTATTTAGCATTTTATAATTTTGCATAGTAAATTATTTTTTCTGCTGCATAGTAGCTGGCAGATAACTTACCGGAACGATGCCCATCTGTTACCGGTAGCTCAGCAGCTTGCACCTGTTGCATTTTATTCCCTTTTTCCTTTTAGGTATTGCGGCACAGTAGCTGAGGTGTTCCCACCTCTAGCTAACGTGTATAGTGTGTGTGTGTGTGTGTTCGTTCAAACTTACTGTAGTGCCATTGTGTCGTAATAAATTGGCAAGTCGCATGATACAACGATGTGAAAAACCTGAAATAATGGCCGAGTGCGATTATCGCGCATCGTACTTTTGAGTGGGAGACCTGGCACTCCGCCACACTGCATGAGTCTAATTGCCAGCTAATGAAGTGCACCCACGTTTCATCGATCTCATTAATTCAGTGTCATTTATGTTCGACATTTTTGCTTCATCTCCGACTAGGCAGCTGTTGCCTGCTGCTCTGTGGTATACTCCTATCCATCTTTATACGACGTACCGCATCATTTACTAGGAATTCTATTAGGTCCTGAATCCATTGGCCTCTGCTTTTCAATCCTACTTCTAACTTGCTCGCTTGAGGATCTGGGCCCTTTCTCTCCGTTCCTTCCTCTTGTTTTTTCCTTGTTATTCAATTGATAACACAAGCCAAGGCAACCGGATTCATCGCACTTAGGTGTAGGATGCTCAGTAAAGCATATTGGCTGAAAGAGTTTGGATCATTGGTTGCGGAGAATTCAGTTGCCTTGACTCGTGTCGCTAGCTATGTTAACTACGGTAACATTAATAGTGGCAATTCTATTAATGATATATCAATAAGGAGGAACATGAGCTTAATCTTTCGATATTGCTGTCAGCCGGTGTCCGAAGGTATGAGGCCTGTAACCCAATAGTCACCGGGCTGTATCTGCCTATATGCAAGTGACTTTCAGAATCAATATCCCATGCGTGACTTGTAGTGTTCGCGCGGCAGCGAAACGCCAGTGCGGAGTTCCAGCGCACTGCTGATGCCCTTTTTTCATGAACCAGATGCGTCAGGACATACGCAAGATCGTCACCAAATTCATTGCTGCACCATATCCCAAAATAATGAATTACTCTTGTGGCTACTCACGAGGTTCTTATTCCGGATGCCGGCAATCAATAGCTCCGCCGTTAATTTTGTCTTTTCTCTCCTAATGCATCACTGACCTGCTATCTGGAAGCTTCAGTGCCCTTCGAATCGGAGTTGCGAGTAGGATGGTGTTTGGACATTACAGATGAGGACCCAGTGCACTCAGGCACTCACGGGCACTGCATCGTAACATCATTTTCCGGTAATTCTTCTACACTGCTAGTTGTTTCCGGATCGGCGCACACCTGGCGGTAACGGGGGTATTTGCTATGCTGCTTCCAGTGATGCATTTGAAGATCCTATCGCTTAGTTATCGGTTTTGAAGCCGTAGGCTCATGCTCCTGGGTTCCGATATGCTTAACGCATTGCCCTCTATGCCTGACTTATCACATCTTCACCGAACGATTTTCGCTTATCTTCCTTTTAGATCTGCTCTGCCACCGATCAGAGCTTCTCTTACGCATCCAGCCAACTGTTCGCATAATGGATACTCCTTCTGGTGTCGCTGGTCCCGTTACTAATATCTCATACGCTCGCATCTTGTTTCCATATCTGACGTATGATTACAGTGATAGATCCCGCTCAGCAAATCTTATCCGTCATTCTGATGGCAGGCATCAGTATGATCCATTTAACCAACTGAAGTTTCCGAGCTCAAGTTCTAACTGCGCTACTGGTAAGCGTCGATCCCCGGCCAAACAGGACCCATACTTCGACTTATGGCCTAGCGTTGGTTCCGGGAACACTGCTTCCGGTTCCGGTGCACGAACGGAAAAGTCGAAACCCACTTACGCCTCTGTCCTTACCAGAAAACCTTCCTACCCCAACTCAACTCTTTGCGGGTTTCCAGCAGTCTCTCACTTGGTGTTTGGAAAAAGCAACACAACTGAAACCCGACTGTCTTCACAACTCCTTAACCGTAACGCCATTGACGCTGGCTTTCCGAGTAAACTTCCGAATTCGCACCCTCGAACACACAAGCAGTTCGATACGCAGACCTCTTCTGAAGTTCGTCAGATTGAGTCTAATTTTCGAAAAATGGAACTCAAACAGCCCTCAGCTCCTTTACGGAATGCTCGAGTCGATTGTACTAACTCATCATATGATCGTCCGCGGTTGACATCATCCAAAGACCTGCACTCGAAGTGTCCTTCTCGGTGGAGCGAAAGCGCAAGTTGCGTTCATAGTACGAATGCGGGGAAATTTCTGACAGATTTTAAGGCGTCCGACTTTTCCGAAATAATACCGTTCTCAGAATTTAATCCGCTAGTCTGCGCCACGCCAAAAGTCAAACGACACCAGCCGGGATATTCGGAACCTCAGTTAGCTCATAGGTCATTGAGTCTCTCGGACTGCAGAAGTTTTACTGACAGCTCAGATACTTCTGTGAATGTGAAAAAGTTTAACGCTCCTTTGCTGATATCCATCGATGATATGATCGGTTCGAAGGCCGAGAGCTGTTCAACTAATGTTCATGCTTCCGGCGGTCTTAACTTTAAGCTGAAGTTGGATGCGATCCGAGAAACCGGCCGTATCGGTAAAGTACGTGAGTTGCCCAAGACAAAACGACCCAGCCGCCTCAAGCGAACGCTACTTGACGAGCGAGCAACACGCAAAAACCGAAGTCATTCAGCCCCTGCCATATGTGGCAAAACTATAGTGGAGTCGAATGTTTCTGTACGAGAGAAAGAAGAAACAGAGGTTCCGGTTTCGCTTCATGAGACCGATGCTACCCAAGTAGGTTTCGCCACATTTACCATTCTTTTTGCAGGTCTCGGCTAATATCGTGCCCGATTGCAACTTAGTCAGAGCTAGTCCCCAGGAGGAATCCTTGATATCCAATCTGTTGTCCCAGCTCGCACAATTCCAAGATCGAGCCTTCGTAAAATTTGCTAACTCTCCCTTGAAACGTAGTCGTTCCAGGAGATTTGTTTGTGGTGTGCGCGAGGTCATCAAACATCTACGTTTGAAGCATGTACGGCTGGTGATTTTGGCTCGCGACTTGGAAGGTGGTGCAGTCCGTCGCTGTGAACAATTGAACAGTTGGTTCCATCGTTTTGCTTACTTGGCCCCGTGTTGGCTTCCGTTTTCATGTTTTACTTGTTTGCTTCGCATACGTTCACATGAACATGTTCTCAGTGACACCTCTTTACATCTTTCAACGAATTGTCTCATGTAACTGATCAGGTCTCCCAGGACGGAGATTCATCATCATCAGTTAAATGGTAAATATGCTTAGGTTTTCTGGGATTACGCTTTTCTTTGTAGGCCTTTACTGTCCTACTGTACAGTCTTACTCGGTTTTATGGGTTGTATTGTTAACACCGCGGACATCTCGTGCAATCCCCTAGCGTGCATACCTGAGTGTCCGACAGCCGTTTAGACTTATTGGGCTACTTCTTGCTGCGGTGCGATATATTTCACATGACTTCCTTCTGTTAGTCACGACCTCAATCATCACTTGCTATTGTTGACCTTTGACGTTGATAACAGTGTAACTCGCCACACAGTCAGCTTATCGGTTCGATTTCTGCTTTTTCATTAGATGTCACGATTGTCACCCTGTTATGTGTACTTTCTTGTACTCGTGTTCTTGCCCATTGTTTTCCAATAATCGTACATGCGACCAAGAGTATGGTTTCATTGCCATCTTCTTCACTATATAAATTTCGCTTCTAGGGTTTATTTGCCACAGAATCCGAACCTCTGTGCAGAGTTAATTCAGCTTAAGTGTATTATTATTTCAGTACCTATCGTTCTGCACTTACGTGTATCTCGTGCTTGTATGCTTTAGCATCCGAACCGTTAAGCGTAGAAAACAACCATTTGCCCATCTTGGAGAGGATTATCATCCAAATCTGGGAACTGGCACGAGCGACTGACCCGCCCGCTTCCATTCTCATCGCCCACAATCGCCACAAACTGGCCCACCTTTGTCATAAACCTGGAAGGGTCTGCGTGATTGGTGTTATCAGCTTCGCTGGAGCAGAACAAACAGGGGACGAGCTGCTATCTATACGATCAGCCGTTCGCTTTTCTTCAACTCACACCGAACAGAACGAAAACTCGAAAGCGAATGCAGGTGGAGCAGGCTAATCATTTGAGGCTCAACTTGATTTTCCGGTATGTTTCAGCTGTACTGTTGCATCCCAGTCCCCCTGACACTGACAGACCTCAGTTTCGTGTTGACTCATTCATACCACTCTGATAGCGCTAATTGCCAGTCATTTCTGGTAGTTTAGTTACATTTGACCAGTCATCTTATTTCAATGCCTTGCAGAAAGTTTAGCCTCGTGGTCAGACAACGAAATAAACATTCCACTGTTCTAAACAGCTTCTGTATAGATAGGACACCTGAATAATCCCTGGCAATCTTCATTACCCACAGTATAGAAACAAAGTGAAGGTGTCTTCGTCGGAGTCTATGCTTTTACACATTGTGCCTTTCAGTGTAGTTTTCCCTTTCCTCTGACATTTTCCATTGAACTTCGCCCCGATTAACCAAAATGTATTTAGCATAAATTCGAGGAATCCCACTCCCTACCTGGTGACTTCTTCCCCTTCTTATTTTACAGTCAGAGCTTCATAATCTATCATATCTACTTTCAACTAGTGCGTTCAACGATATCTGCAATGTTTTCAACCTGAGTTTGGGGATAAACTAAAGAAAGCACTTCAGCCCTCAGTTGAAACCGGAAGTACCTTTCTGTCACGACTAATTTGTACCCCGCCGCCAAGCAGCTACAATATTGGGGGTCATAAGAATAGATGGACCAGTAGCCTTGCATTCTGGGACAATTCACCACTTCCGAAGGACTTTTGACCCTTTAAGATGTTTCGTTTGTTAGGGATTTCACTTTTTGATATGTGACCTAATTATGTAAAACCGAGTAGATTTGAGCCCTCCGCCTACATTACACTGTCGAATAACGTGTGCTCCCCGTCTCTGGCGTCTTATTTTTCGCTTTCTGCCTTTTGCGTTTGAATCCTCGCTTTGAGTCGTATCGCTGTCATGAGCTCTTGTCATCTCTGAGGTCCTCCCTCCTTGTTGGTCACACTGTATATCACAATTAGGTTAGTTAGTCTTTGGTGTCTAGCTTTCTGATCCAAATAATCACAAAGAATTTCTTGTCTACCATTTCCTCTGAACTTGATACAACGTTTATGAAAGTGATGACAGTTCACTGGTGGCTGTTCAGCAATATTTGACACTCTGACACATGGTTGTCAATCACTATTTCATATGTTAAGATAAATCTAAGAACTTCCTGACCCCATGTCCCTTTCTTCCATATTAATCTCATGCATTGTATCGCGACGACCCATTGGCCTTGGTAGTAATCCAATTGGCGAAATTTGAGTGGTAGGGTTTGCGTTACACATCTCTTCGCATGTTGCCGCCATCATTTTGGGTTTTTTTAGCTGAGGCTTATCCTTGATTCATTTGAGCACACGTGTCTGCTATAGCCCACATTACCCTATTTTGTAGGAAAAGTTCCTTATATTCTTATACCACTGTACCACCACTTTTGTTTTATTTAATGAAAAATTAGATGGTCGACCCAGGACTCCCAACTGGCATCCAGCGGACGCGCATGTGCAGCTCGGTCATCCACTTGTCTTAGAATATAAACTCTGAAAGGCACCAATGGAAACTGGTGTAGCGTGGCGCGATCAAAGAATTTCGGTGACCGAAATTTGTCGGTCAGTATGGTGGTACTAGTGCATGACAGCTATCGTCATTTACACTGGGAGCGATGGAAGGAAGGTTAGCGATAAGGATCAAGAAAAATACATAGAAAACTTACGATATGGACATCGGTAATAGTCCGTTTTCGTTTATACGCAGTCCTATATGCAACGGACAAGATGATTCTTTTGAACCAATGCGACGACCAGTGAAGGATGAAACTAATGTTTGATAGGAAGGTCATGATTGTAAACCGTACCTCAAAGTTTGCACATATTTTTCTTCATACACCAGTAGGTTCTGTTATTTAATACATTTCCCCATCTGTGTAGATCGCTGAAGTATTTAATGCCAAAATTAAGCACCGCTAACACAACAGTCTGTTTTCATCCCTCGTTCAGCGGGACGCATGTGGCGAAAAATGTTCTTCCGGAATCCGCTCTGCACAATGGCTTGTATCACCTTTCAAAAACTGTGATTGTTTGTTTCTGACTTTATTTTTATTTTCTAGCGAATTACTTTACTGTATATATGCCATACTCTCACTAACTCAGTTGCACGAGTCACCAATTACACTTTCGGTCCGTGATTATCTCTGTGTCTACTTGATTTTGGCAAAATTAGACCAATGTATGTAAGAGGTATTATGTCCCCGCACCTGGCTTTCCTGATGGGCAATTTAACGAGCAACCAGTATGCACAATTATAGCAGCCAGTTCTACTCGTGTTAACTTTCAGAGCGTCTGTGCTCCACTTTCACACTGTCTTTTGTTCACTAATTGCTTTATCTTGTATATTGTTTTTCGAGGTAACCTCTAAATATGAAGGATTCATGATGGGACCAATGCAGTAAGCAGAATCTAGCTACTTGCCCATTACCACCATGAATCTGCCGAATTGGTTTTCTTGCGAATCGCTAGCGAGAGTCTGTAGGCAGCGCTTCTCAGACAGCAACTGCAAGAGTTCGTGCAATATGCCGATAGAGGAGTTTATCCAATGAGAGTGAAAAGTTCCTAAAATGTCAACCAGGTACAATTGAAAGCGCGTTGCAAGACTAAAGCATAGGAGAGACGGGCTCATGAGTATAACAAAAATGTTAACACCTCTGCACCATTGTAGCCGGCTCCTAATTATTTCGGGTAGCATTTATCTGCTTCATGTTTATATGTTCTATGGCGGCGTGATGAATCTACTGACCCAGGTCCTATGTATGCCCTGGAATCAAGTTGCTGCACAGCGTTCAGCGCAGTTTTTACAATCAGCGTTTGTTTGCCGAGACGCCGTGCTTAACGGATAGCTCTGCCAACTGAGTCTGTTGCGTGAAACCACGGTCCTCATCGCTCGGTGAGCTTTGTGTTACAAGGCTATTGGCTCTCGCATCATTCCTGCAGAGCACCACAAAAATCGCCACTAAATGGGTCTCGAGTACGATCAGTTTTTCGATCAGGGTGATGAGGTTCCACACAGTAGTGAGTGTTAATTTCCCGTCAGAAATGATAACTTATCTCTAGTCGCGCCAGTTTCACTCTGATCTGTGATCATATGTTCGTTGAATTTGAGAACGGAATATAGATGTTACCGGCGATGTGATCATTATTGCACGAGCCGGGTGGACAATGCGGAATTGGTTAGGTTTAGCGTCAACTAAACTCGAAATGACTCTTTGTAATCCGATGGCGCGGGCTCGAGCCTGCGTAGTGACCGGGTGACCTTCGCAGTATCCTTAGCCCACGTGCGACTGGGAGTGATTGCGCGGCAGCGAAGCGTCGATATGCAGTACCGACGTACTGCCGATGCCTTAAACAAAACCGGGTGCGGATCATCGAACGCAATTTGACGGGCACTAAGGGCCAGCCAGTGGAACTAGCTCAGGCGACTCGACTCTGCTTAGTGTAATTGACTCGGGTTCATGAATACCAACTGTCGATCGCTATTCAGATTTCGTTTTAGCTGTTGGAGGGCTGCTCGACGATGGACACCGGGAATGAGCTGAAAATGACTGCCTGCGATTAAGCAAACGATTGTGGGACGTTGAGCAGTGTCAAATAGTTTGCTCTGGAACTTGGAGCACGATTGAAGCAGTGGAAAGCCTTGAATTATAGAAGAGTGACCATCACTACTCAAAGTAGTTCGCTTCAGAATTGAACACTGTCATATGAATAATAGTGATCCGTCTCACCGGCTGTATGCCGACCGAAAGTTTCATCCGTAGCATCACCTTCCAGCAATTACGTTCGCATTGTGTTACGTGGCATCCGCCAAACGATACACTGCCCTTAACCCGGGTTTACTGCAATGCTATAACTTACAGATGGTGTGCGTCATTCAAGAAAGTTGCCCGATATGAGGCCACTAATCAAGCCCTGCTCACATCCCAATGGGCGTTGACTCTCCTGTTCTCATCGAAGCGCCCAACTACGGATATCTTGCCAAGCACTCAGCCCAAGATTCAGCAAACAGTGTTGCATTTCCAAGTTGGAACTTTGGTTACCAATACGGAGTAGACGAGTTAAGCCGCCTCAAATGCACCAATAACGCACTTAAACATGACATCGACTTGCGCTGTGGTAGATGACATGATCTTGTTAGCGCAGGTGATTCAAGTTTAACAGAAACCGCTGCGGCACAGTAGTATTTTTCCAAACGTGACCCGAAAGTGTTACCTTACTTCAACCGACGTACAGAACTCAGCCTCGTGGATGACTGCCTCTTGTGGGGATCCAGAGCTATTATACCGCCTCGGTTACGACAGTATGTGCTGGAGGAACTACACGAAGCTCACTCAGGTATCACCAGAATGAAACGGCAGTGGTGACCCGGCATCAATAGCAACATAGAAAGATTGATCAGACGCTGTGAAGCATGTTCAGGTATACAAAGAAACGCCCAGCCGGTACCACTTGGTCCATACAAGTGGTTCGTTGAAACATTGGAGCGTATACATACAGACTACTTTGGTCCGCTTGATGGGAAGATGTTTCTTCTTATGGTCGGTGCCCACTTCAAATGAATTTAGGTATTTCCGCTGACGCCACTTCCGAGACAACTGTTTCCTGCATGCGAACATGTTTCAACACATTCGTTATTCAACAAACACTAGTGACAGACAACGACTCTATATGCACTAGTCGACAGTTTCAAGGGTTCAGTATCTTGGAATAGACCTGAAGTTGACTGGGATTTCATAATTTCCGAAGTTTTGGATTACAAACCGGTTTTCAATAGGCCTGTATTGTGACAACCTTTGACACAGGATCTTATGACAATTAGAATGATGATAGCGTGAGATGACGCCTGGCCTGAAGAAGCTCTTGTGTCACAACACAAGCTTATAGAAAACCGATTTGTAATCTAAAACTTTGGAAATTATGAGTTTTACGAGTTCCTTCAAAATGACGGCATTAGACAGTTGAAGACCGCCCCTTACCACACAACCTCAAATGGACTAGAGGAAAGAGCGGTCCAGACAATAAAAAGCGGATTGCAGAAACAAACACCTGTTTCATTCCGAACGAATTTGGACAAATTTCTATTCGCTTACCGCTCCACCCCAAGTGAAACGACAGCCAGGAGTCTAGGCGAACTGATGTTCGGCCGAAGTCTTACGGCGCGACTAGACCTACTCTTTTCCGATCAGAGACTACGCGTCGAGGTGCGGCAAGAGAAATCTAAAGAGAGGTATAATCGTATGGTATCAGCATGATAACTTTGAGGACGAGCTAGTTTGCGTCAAGCTGCCCCATGAACCGACTTGGCAGCTTGCAAAGTTACGCGGAATTGTAGGCCAGAGAGCGGACGTTGCACTATCGGACGGCAGGGTGACTTTCTGTCATATGTATCACGTCCTCCGTCGCTCTGTTTTAACCGGGTCAGACGAGATTTTGCCAAGCCCGTCAGCCAAGTCAGAGAAGAAAATGCAGAACCCAAACCAGCCAGAAGTCTAGCCATTACACCGCTCCACTAGAGTATGCCAACCAGGTTGTCTGGGGAGTGCCAACTAAAGGGAGGAGGGATGTGGCGTAATACTTACCGGACACCAGCGACGATCGAATATGTGAACGTGCTTCATATCCTAAGACTAAAGAGGCCGTCTTACTTCCACAATATAGGTTGGCCCTCATTGTGGCCATCCACGACGTCTTTGACATCTAGTTAGTTATACTCAGCGCATCAGCAGAATCCGGCCGATAAATTTCGTCACCAAGCCACTAGAGCCGCTCATTATGGGAGCTTCCCAGCAACAACACCCATCACTCTCCTCGCCGTTCGGTGAACAAAGATGGGTGCTCACTATATTAGTTGATATCAAACGATCAGCTAGCGCAAGTGAAGTTTTCGGAGGTAGATTACTTCAAGACGGGGTGTTACATGCAACAGTCTCTAATGAAAATAATGACAACTCTTCAGTAACATTGCTTTACTTTGTTATCCAATTAATTTCGTTTACTGCTACTCGGCCAACTCAGAATCCCATGGCAGTTAGCGAGACTAACGTTATCATAATAGATTTTGCCTTTCTACGGTTAATTAGCGCAGTGAGTCAGATCTATCTACCACAACAGGCACAGCCTGCCTCGAAGACTTCAAATGAGAAAATAAGGCATGAGGCAGCCGACCCTAAGAAAGATGGAGAGCGAACACACATTGGACGGAAAACAGGCTCCACGGTTTTCGGTATTCTGAGTTCGCCAATACTTCAGCAAATAATTCCCCATAACAGCAAGCTGTTCACGAATGTCAGGAGGAGCCATGTGTAACGTGTATTTGTTCAATCGCAGTAATTCTTCGCCTGGACCCAGATGTTCACCTTCATGTCTCGGTCTTTCGAGAAATATGTTATTTATTTACTTAATTCCCCCAGTTCCACTTGTTGAACTCACTCAGTATTCGAACGTGTCACGCATACCGCTCTGTTTGTCCCTAGTTGCTCGTTTTCCATGTCGAACTTACAGTAGGTGCCACCACGAGCCTCGCTACTCCTTTCTTTGACTCATGCTCTGCTCGGTCGCTTCCTGGTATTTGTTCCCTATCACACACTCTCGACTAGTGCCCGATTCCCGTATCAATCTTACGATTCCCGTACTCTCTGATCGGTGACACACCAACACCTCAACTGCCCTGTTTACTACATTGATCCACCATGCTTCACTTCCCCCAGTCCTTGCCATTGTGGTCATGACATACCGGGGCTTTTTGGGATGGGCACACCACCCACACCCATCCAACCTCAAGTCTTCGTTACGTGTCGCTCATCGAGCCTGCTTTTACCCTGCTGTGATTGGACTAATAGCTGTTGGTTCCCTGATTTGCTCGTTTGTGTACGTCTAGTTTAGATACAACAGCCCTGGCTGATTTGCTGACTGAACGGCTAGATTGCTGTCCCGTTCTTGCACCGGCTAACTGAATGTACCTATCTTTGTGTGAATATGGTTGAAGTATGTTGTTATTATAATGGTTTGTGTAATAGCACCGTAATTCAGCATCGACTATAGCTCCCTTTGTTTCTCCGGTGCTCACACACCAACTCCGGTTCTTGTCGCTCATTGATTCTCGGTCGGAGGCCGAGGAACGGTGCCCTACGAGTTGTCCAACTATCCTAAGCACTTTTGACGGTTCCACCATGAAGGTCACTTCAGACGGCCCCATGAAGTGGTGGTGATGGGATCTTTTGGAACTACTAACTTTTCGAAGTAAGCACGTGCTAACTGACTACACATGGCGGTTCTTGTCATATAGCGCCTTCCGAGAATCCAAAACGAAGACTGGACTGCGATCAGAATCTATTTGGATCACAATGCAATGTACCACTTATAGGGTAACCTGCGCTTCGTTTAGCAATCCCGGTTTGCTCTTCCTTGATTGTCTGCCTCTGGCGTAAACAGCATCGAGCCAGTTGGTCGTGCGGACCTACTAAGCAGTTCTCACTCACGCGCATAGGCGTCGCTGCTCGACTGGTGGCGGATAATCGATCTTGCCTGTCCGTTCCGAATGCGTAGGCGAATATAGACAGCTGCCACTAACATGATCATAACACAGTTCTCATCTGTACTACTTCGAATCGCAAGTGATAGCTTCTCCAAACTCGTTATTGTCTGACAGCATTTGAAAGATACGGAACAGAGCTGTCGTGCAATTCGGTAAATAGTTATGGTCAGGACACTGAATCGCATCGTAACAGCAGATTATGCTCTTCCGCTGCCCATTCCGGCATAGGAGCCATATCTGAAGGATCCCGGTTTTACCCTTTGATTGAACAGCCTGGCTCACAGCAGGGGCGTAAACGGATGTTTGGTTGAAGATCTCTACTTGGAACTTGCTGTGGTTCCCGCCGACCGTACAGACTTGCTCAAGTTGCGCAAGCTGACCGGCAGGCTTCCGAGATCAGAAGACAAAAGTCTCAGGTGAAAACTGTATTGAACACTCGGCAAGCAGTGTAAACAATCAAATACTGGGGTCGAATCAATAGTTAATAATGTAATGCCCTGGCGCTCACTGGCAGGCTTCAAGGTATCCCATCCTCATTGGTAGCGTTCAAGGTGAAACGTCATCATTGGCCCGATCTTGTTGGTCGGCCAATAAGCTTCGGGCCGCGTAAGGGTCAAATGTTCCGGGATGCTTGCGAAGTAGTGTCGGTCCCCTTAACACCTTAATCGCGAAAATTAACATAGGGCTTCCTTCTTGGATCAAACTGCATTCGGATAACGGATCTCCGAACTCGGTCAGCCCGACGCCGCGGTCACATGTTCAGCTTTTCCAGAACTCCTGCGCGATGTGCATCCGAAGCGTTCCGAATATTCGATGGGATATGGAAACTCTCCAGCGGTAGCAATCAATTACTTGTGCTTTCCGGGATGCTAGTTGGTTGCAGCTGACTAGCATGCCTGGTCCAATACTTTTGTATTCACTCTGACCGGACTAAGTCTTCTCTGGATCGATCCTATCACCAACTGGAGACTTCCCACGCGATAGTTTCTGATCAAAACACGTCTTGGGGAAAGTTGATGTGCTTGTTTTATGACGCTCATTGTAGTACACCTTTCCATTTGTAAGTTCATTTTTTGTGGGACAGTACGCCTCGGAAGCAGCAAGGAATTCACGATAAGGAGCTTCTTCCCCATCGGTGCCTCTGTCGGCGATAATTGATTTGGCACCTGGCGATTCCCAATTGATCTATACACCAGCAGGAAAGCATTCAGTATTTTTGCTTAATTCCTTTCCCCGTCATCTTTAGTGGCGACCGTATAAACGTGCTAACGAAATGTACTGCTTGTTCATTTGACTTGGGATGAAACCGCGGTGAACACAGATGCGTGATGCCATTCTGTGCTCCAAACTCGGTAAACCGGGTAGAAGTAAACTGAGAATCATTGTCAGTGACCAAGGTTTCCGGTACCCATGCTGGCTGAAAAGTCTTCTCAGAACGCTAATTGTTGCACCAATTGTCGCACAATTCATACAGAAGACCTCAGGCCACTTGTTGAAGGAGTCCACAAAGGCCAGATACTTCTGACCACGGGATCAAAGAAATCAGCGTGCACTCGTTACCACGGCTTCTCTGCCGAAGGCCAGGAAGCTAGTTTGGCCTTTTTGGGTACCTTTGACTTGTGGAGCTGGGTGCTTGTACAGATCTGGTTGATGGGAACATCGAGAAGGTTGAAGTGTCCGACCAATTCTATCCCAAGAAGATACAAGTTCTCGTGGCTTGTGACGAAAATATTTCCCCAGGCAGTGAAGTTGCCAAAGCGGCACTCGCATTCAATCTGATCAATCAAATTCAACTTGGTGCCTGATGTGCTCGTCGGTTGTTGGCCGGTCGATTTGATGTCTGGTGCACCAACAGATTTCCAAGAGTTTTCCGAAATGACTCTGATATCGGATGTCGCGTCGATTTGCAAACGCGCCTGTCGCCCGCTGATGCTGATAGTGACAAACTTCCTGGTCTTTGACGTCGTCGAAGTTGGCGTTTACCCTTCTTGCAAACTTTCGGTGACCTTTGCTTCGGGCAGTGTATGGTGGCCTGAACGGTAGTTTGGACATGCAATGGGTCTCCTTGTGTCCACGTCTATGACACTTCTGGCAGACATGTTTGCTGAAAGGGTACCATCTCTCAAAATGCCAATTTCCGCACTTCCAACAAGCTGATTGGGGTTTAGCTTGTGAACACATGTGCTCGGTTGCTAGGGTGTTGTTCCTGGAAACTAGCTGGATAGTGATATCACCAATATGCACTTTTGCATTCTTCACCATAGCTGTATCGTGCTTTAAATTCATGATTCTCTGGGCTTCAGCAACGATGTTCTGTAATGTGACATCCGAGTCGCGTTCCAACATCTGGTCCGGAATTCGACATCTTTAGGGGCTGTACACTGTGCACTAATACCAGGCACGCGAACAGATCTACGGTAATTTCTGGCATTCACGCTTCGCTGTCCCTGCATGAGCAATAAAACTGTCACTGTCTTTTTTTATAAAGCTTCAAGCAATTGTACCGATTATTGAAAAGCGACGACTGGTCTCCAAAACATCTTTGTGAGCCGGGCAGTTGTCTCATCAAAATTGAAATCACGGGCGCTCTTAGGCAAAATATGGTGATGTATCCGTCATGCTCGACCGTTCCCAGTTTTCGTGACAACAAAATGCACTTTTGATGCATCGTCGAGGCTTGACAACCCTGCCTTGAAAACATCCTCATAGCGCCTGAACCACACTCGAATATCAGTCCTGAATCAGGATCAAAGACGAACACAATAACGCTGCTAATCACTGCGTCCGCTGAAGACGTACCATCGCTCTGGTTGACTGTGGGCTGAAGAGATAACCTTCAGATGAGGGTCTCAATCATTCGTAACTGTGCGGCTTCAAATTGCTGCTGGTGTTGTAACAAAATGGCCTTCAGGTCTTGGATGAGATCGACATGCTGATTTAGTTCACCTCTGTCGCCAAAATCACTTGTGGTTTCCGCTGACTGTGCAGATAACCTGCTCCAAATTGCGCAAACTGACCGACCGGCTTCCCAGATCAGAAGACAAAGGTCTCAGGCGAAAACTATATTGAACACCCGGCAAACAGTATAAGCAGTCATATACTGGGGTCGAATTAATAGCCAATAAGGCTTCATTGGTAGAGTTCAAGGTAAAATGTCATCATTGGCCCGCTCTCATTTGTCGGCCAATAAGCTTCGGTCTGCTAGCGAACGGGTGTCTGCAGACTTCTACACATAAGACAGTAAAAACGCCAAACACAGAAGTGCAACTGATGAGTCCTGTTGCGATTTACTCCAAATTTGTCGGGTGCAGCTGTCGAGGATTCTGAACAATACTTTTTTGGCAGCGACATATTAGGCATATGCGCCTACGGCCAACCGCAGGTGCCTTTTGACGGGTTCGAGTCTTCTAAAGGCAGATGGCAGCAAACAATTGACCAACGATGATGCTCTCTCTACGCTAGAGATAAAGAGTGGCGCTGAGTTATGCACCACGTTAAGATTTACTTTTATCGAGGTGGACAAATATAAGCGACCGAGAGCACATATGAGGTAGGATTTCAAAAAGGAGTTATTCATTGGTTAGGAGGACTGATGAAGCAAAGAGCTAAATGCATGAGCATCAGTGTGCTCGCGACTGTATCATGCCGAAAGAGCTATTGATTACCGATTTGTTCTACCTCGATACATACGTACAGAAAGGTGGCATACACCAGCCCCACCAATTTCTCCGATTAAGCTCATCATGCATTATGGCCCCAGCCGTCAGCTGGGAACCCTGATGCTTCGCATAACAGTATACTGTCAGTATGCAAAACAATGGACAGAAACATGTAAAGAACGACACGGCTAACGTAGACATTTCAAACTAAAGAGAGCTCAGCACAATTATCAATGTTTTTCGACTCGATCTCGAGGACAGTAGCGCAGGTGAACCCTAACTGGCGGATGCGAGCTTGACCCATTAGATGACATCGTGTCAAAAGTGACCGAATGCACCGATGACCAAATGTGGCCGATTTCCTAATTTCTTCAATGCGCAATGGTTACAATTGCCCGAACGCTGTGTTGTACATCACCACAAGGTCTCGTGGCTCCCATGGAGGATTAGAGCTGCACAAATGTGTGCAATAACTTGTGTCCGCATCAAGTAAGATACTGATGTAAAACTTAAAACAAGACTTGGTAGATAGACTTTAGTCACTGAACCAAATCGTTCTACGGCGGTTTCCGTGTGGCCCACTGGCCAAGGCATCTCGCTTGTATTTCAGAGGTCGCTCGTCAGAGCCTACGTAAGCACGGGCGGCTTGCGGTGTCTCTAGTCTACACGTGACTTGGTAGTTTCGTGACAGCAAAGCGTCGTTATTTGTGCTGACGCACTGCGAATACCTCCGTTTTGCCTGCGATTGGTTTCCGAAACAGTTGCTCAACTGACCTGCAGTGTTAAGGAATCGCTAAACGCATTCGTACTGCTGGTGCGATTGAGATAAGAGCAGTTGGAGTGGAGGAGTATCAATGAATGCAAAACGCGATCTCATCCTAAACTGCTTCCCAGCTTCACTGATAGCCACCTTATAGAAAATAAAAATCAAAGTAGTAGACATTCGTTTTAATTGAATCGTAAAAACGAGGGATATCACTCCATCTCAGTCCATGCGCATTTTCAAATCGGAAATGGTAACCTTCTCCGGTTCACTGAAATGAATAAAAACCGGCATTCTTGAACAACATGGAAAGGGATGTTATCAATGAATAAACGCGAAACTTCTTAAGGCGGATTTCTTAGCATATGGCAAATCTATGCATGGTGGGACCTTTAATTTGGCCGTTGCCCTTGTCACCGAAGCATCGCTTTACCTTATCCACTATGAATATATCCATTTTGGGAAATAGTTTGACGAATTCTTCGAATGAAGAGAACTGAGACCATCTTACTCCGTCGATTTTGGGAAGAATGCAACAAGATATTGTGCACATTTTTCAATTTATTACTTTCGACAAAGCAAAACCGTTTGTCAAGAAACGTTTTAGTAAAACAGTCGTGTCAACCGAACAAAAATCCGGATAATTCGCCAAGCGCTATGCTCAAAGACGCGGGACTATTTGCTCGAGTGACGTCTAAGCACATTTCCATCTTTTTGTTTTTATATTCGTGATATTTTGCGTGCTGAATTACTTGATTTGCAGTCGATAGTGTAACATACTTAAAATGAGTACATAAAGCTTATTTTGACTTGACTATTGTAAAGATAAATCGCTGGGAACTATGGAGGTCAATGTGGAAAACTAGATAAGGGTAGTACCCAGGTGTCAATTAATTGACGTGGGAAGTCCCGTGATAAGTACATGAACAACAAGATGGTAGTCCACCTGGAGCGCGGCGCTGCTTCCTCAAGCGATCCAAGTATGAACCGCGAACCCGGAAAGCACATATACAGTGACAAGGAGGATGAACCTTATCTCTCACGTAGACGAAAATCATCGAAAGCGCACAATAAAAACGTTTGGCAAACTTACATTAGGTACACGCGGGCACCCCAGCCAGAGAGACAGTCACGATCTGCTGCATTAAGGATGCATTGTGAAATGCATTCGAACAGCTGAGGTGGTTTCTGGGGGAAAAGGATAAGAAGGACGATATCAACAGGAATATGAAATAATAACTGGCAGTCAGCACAGAACTGACTGAAGAGTATTCGGTACAATAGCTGAGGTGTTTTCCACCTCCAACTAACTTGTATATTGATGATGATCTGCCATAGAATTGTCCAGTATTCCCATAATGAAAGAGAATCGTACTCATTAATAATGTTTTAGAATTCAGCGTCCTGTGTACGTTTAAACGGCTCAAATGTTTCATTTCCGAAAACTAGCTGGCCATAAGTCACGCTGCTGTCTTCACTAGCGATATGTACCATTGATTCCAGATTTAGATTCAAATAGATTAGAAGATAATACATTTATATAGGCTTAATCAAATATTTTACAATCTTTGCCGCACAATCCAACCTATCACGAGACTGGGCCTTAGTGTGTTGTGACGATCTGTGGTATATTTGGGTGCCCTGTGACAAACTGTCTCTTACTTGGAGTTGGAGGTAGCATGGCGCAAATTTCCGTAAAAACTAGATCATGTTGCGAACCGTGGCCATATCCCCGATAACATTTCGTCCAGCTATTGAACCAAAGGCTTTGATTGACCATGATCGCTCACTTAGGCAAGTCTGGCAGCCCAACAAAATCCTGGTCCCCATATAACCATGATATCCTCCCCGAAATTCACCATTGGCGACCATGTAATTTCATCATGGTCATCTTCGTTGAATGCACCGGATTGGATAAGCTATGGAAGTCTACTTCGTATGCTTACATTGCTTGTTACACCTTCCTGTTTCTAAATTCACTAGCATCTAGTGTAAATGATAGAAGTCGCTGTCTTTTCTACGTGCACGTGTGTCGTGACAGTGCACAACAGCATTTTGGCATCAAAACCCTTTATTATGCGAAGCTGCGACAGTAGGGAGTCCATATGAAAAAGGAACTTCGGAAAGCACTTAACAGAGAGAAAATCGGGGTAGTTTACCAGAGGGGCCAAACGATTCGGTTGACGCTGGTATGTGCAAGGGGTTCCCGCTCTTTAGATTGAATAAATAACCGTACCTATAAAATCTTGTGTGAAGACCGCATATATATATATATATATATATATATATATATATATATATATATATATATATATATATATATATATATATATATATATATATATATATATACTCGGTGATCTTGACATGAGTCGCATATGTTCTGAGATCCTCGTGGGCAATGCTAACACATTCAAGGATGGCGCCGCATGCGTCTGACGCAGAGCATGAAGTTAACTTGAAAACATCGCGATCATCCAGTGAGTGTGGAGGTCAACCCCACAAACACAATGGTTAAGGACATGAAAATCGCCAAATCTAACAAGTGCATGAATAGGGTAGATGGGATAAACTATCGAATACCTGGTGGCCAGTTAACTCCGGCCAAACAGATGAGACAGAGAGAAGCAATAGTAGTACGACGTAACGACATTCCACTGCCTTGCGACCACTACCAGTCCCGGGACACGGAGGTACTGTGAGTCCCTCCTCCGTACTTACGTACATTCGAACTGGCAGACGCCTCACCCCTTCGATCACTACCTGTCAGCTCGATGAGCGTCGGTGGATGCATTCGAACTTGCGATGGACTATCGCAAGCAGCACCACTAAAATTTCGAATAGTAACTCGATTTTCTCTCACAAAATAAGGTGACAGCTCCATAGTTGCCCTTTGATGAGGCCTTTTTTCTGCAGATGTATGCCCACGACTGCTGTAAAATATTAACTAATTTTAGCTAATTCACTTAGCCTTTTTGTATCAAAGCGAAACGTCACACAATAGATACATTAACTGGCCGTTCATAAGCCCTTCAAAAATGACGAGCTCCCGATCTCTTCTATAATATCGAAAGCATGCGCTACATCCGGTGGTTTTCATGCGGATGTTATTTCAATCCACTTCAGTTGACTAACTGTATAGTAATTCCAGTTGCCTTGATTCATGTCGGCCGGAGGTCACCGGTTCGAATCCGGGTAGGTGCGGGAAACGTCGCGGCATACCAAGCACTGGCGCGAGCGTTGATTGTCTCATGGTAACGAAACGTCAGTACGATGTGTCGGCATACTACTGATACTTTTTTTACCTCGCCGTCAGGTGGAGTGGCAATATTGCTAAATAATAGAGCGATTTCGAGAAAATAGCATGCAACAAACTGAATGTCTTTGATAGCTTATTTTCGTCTGATGCAAAGGCATTGTTTGGCTACCCCGGGATTTCACTCAACTAGGTACAGTGCCAGTAAATAATACAAACCGATCTGAAGGCACGAGGACGGTATGATCTGCCTAGCGCAGGCGATTCAAATTCAAGGCTACACCAATGCATCTGTAGCCGAATCCCATGTGACGAATTTTAGCATCAGCCATTCGGCATGATTAATAAAGTCAATTTTGTGTCCTCAGTGAGCGGTGGTTATGTCACTGATATGTGCAACGAGTCGCATTATAGCGTTGGACACCCCATGCGTGACAAGTTGGCCTTGAAAATCCGAAACAAGTCTTGTCAATACGTGATCTTTTCGGTGATACAACAAGGGGTGATAAAGTTACTTTTGATAATAATGATTCTGTTTTAGTAAGTTATCATTTTCACATTGTCTATCTTCTCGTAATTATCGTTTACAATTCTCACAGTTAAATCTCAGGTTTAAACACAATCTAATTTATATTCTATATTTGCTGGGGACCTGAGTTGTACGATGTCTCGGTGTAGGTTTCGTACTAGGGATGATTCAAGTGTAGTACTCGATGGGTCATAATAAGATCAATTCTTAGCAGTTTTATCATATCATATTTTAACTATCTATAAATTAGGGCGGGCCAGATAGAATAAGGAGTGAATTAAATTCCAAACGATTTATTAATCTGTTAACTAAATGTTGAGCCTGCAAGTGTACGATGGACTATGACTCGACTTGCTGCGTTAAGAGGGAGTTGCATTTCAGTGGACACGTTGACAGTCGCTCTAGTCTGTGAGCACTCTGTTTCACTCAATTTCAATCATTGCAGACATGGTGACTGGAGCTGCTGCGGAAGATCGTTGATATGACTGCCAGTACACTACCGTGGCATTTCAATAGTATTTATTACTCCAAATTTCACATAACTCCATCGTGTCTTTACGAAGATACTCTTACTTCAGCTACTAACGATGTCACACGTCAATCTCTGTTCATAACTCAACACTGTGTAGCGTACATCAAGTTGGTGATGCAGGATCGCCCTTTCGTAAAGCCGTGTTGCGCTGGCGTCAATATGTCCATCGATTCGAAGAACGACAGCAGACATTTTTTCACAACCTTCTCGAGAACTTTGGATAATACCGAAGTCAAACAGATCGGTCTATAGTTCTCTGTTTTACTCTGATCACCACCCTTGGGAAGCGGTTTAACTATCGAGCATTTCCAGTCGTTGGGGACAGATCCTTCAGAGAGCGATCTATTGAAAAGGTTTGTCACAACTGGTGAGATGATAATCGATAGGGACTTGAGTATTAATGGGTGAAGTCCGTCTGGCCCGGGGGGCTTTGCACCATTGAGGTTGACGAGTAGCTGATGTACTTCGACTGCATCACATTGTAGGCTGTCGAGCAAGACTGGCGCAACCTGTGCTGGTACTGGAACAGCCGCCGGTTTACTGGAAAATACAGTGAGGAAGTGCGTAGCCAGGGCGTCCGCGCGCTCCGCGCTTGAAATGAGTGTCTTCCCGTCTAAGCTCTCTAAGAGTGGTCGTCCCCAGGTTTCAGTTGACGTTCAATAAATATTCATGTTCACTTTATCTTTCTTGTACACGCGTAATCTTCATCACAACCCGAGCTGATGTTTCAATTCCCTACTATCTCACACTAGTCATTTTGAATAGGGAACGAGTACAGAGCGAGTTAAGCTTCCCCTTTATTAATGACCCACTCAATACATGTTCAATCACTTGAATCTTCTCAATTTCGTTTAGACGATTGTACATGAGTAGTGGTCACTGTTCGCCAGAGGTTCGATGACTCTGATCTCTTTTAGCTTCTGCTCGCAGCTCGTAAACATTAGGTCCAGACAAGATGCCGAGTACGGAGTTACGCGCGTCGGTTGGATGACATGTTGCGTTGCCCCAATTTCAATAGTCATTTTAGCGAATTGAGCCTCAACGTTGCCATGACCGGAAGAAGTCGAACATCTGGCCAAATTATCTTAGGTAAATTTAGATCCCCCATCAGTAAGAACTGAGGGCGGCTCATGTGCTTCTGTACATGTGGTATCCAATCGCAGCAACGGTTTAATGGGCTCCGGTAGATAACCCCCCACAATTAGTTCTGCGCGCCTGAGACGGATTGTGCACCACAATTGCTCGCATAAACTATCCTCGCTCCGATAGGTACTGATACGTTTGCCAGATAGTGACGATTTTATGTACAACAGAACACCACCGTGAGCCTTTGATTTTCGGTCACATCGGAAACAAGAATATCCTGACAACACGACTTCTTGGGGTATGATGTCGGAGTTCAACCATGTCTCTGCAAGTCCTAAAATGTCCGGCCGCTCCGAGACAGCGAAGCGGCACAGTTCGTCACGTTTGTTCATTAGGCTGCACACGTTGGCGAATGCGACACGGAGGCCCTGGGAGGTACTGCGGGACGTGCCTGGAGGTTGAGCAACCGATTGATACGGGTTCGTACACCCTTCTTGATCACCCTTCTTGATCACTTTTATAGAGATCTACCCCTTCAAATGGTTGCTTCGAGGAAAGTGAAGGCTACTGTTGTGTCATCCGAGTCCAATTACGGCACATCCACTCTAAAAGTGCGAAGCACATACCGAAAAGGGCAGTGTATGTGCCAGTCTATTTAACAACACTTGCGTGGCAAATGGCTCTGATGCAAAGGAGACAGTAGTCTACGCATGCTAAATGAATCGAGCACGTAACAGAATTACTACTTTAAAGGAGTGAGGCAGGACAGTCACTCAGGAGCACCT